GAAAAGTGTGAAAGGGAAAAGAAAGAAACCCTTTTCCTTCCCATTGATTGGTGTAACTGTCTCAGGCTGAGATTTAGAGATCCGCATTTCTTGACCCTGTGCCCCTAAAATATACACAGAAATATTGTGAACTTTCCCACATGCACACCAGCAAAGTCAGGGGTAGACATTTTTATTGAAGACAGCTACTGAAAACTTTAATCTACCCTTTCAGCAATTGACATAGCAAAGCTCTGAAGCAATGTTAACAAATCAGGTCACACTACAGAAAAACTACAGGTAAGTTCAATGAAAACTAGTTTTCACCTTTAACCAGTCTAATGATAGCATACTAGTATGTGAAGCATGGTTTCCCATTTGGAACATCGGGGTGAGGAATATTTTTCCAGGACTTGGTTTTCATTGCCACCATAACATATATTTTTTGCTGATGAGAAAGACACTTACCCTGGGGAAATTCTTAGGCAGAGAGAGGAAAGTTTCTCAGACATTTATAGCCCAAATATTTCAAAACATAGGTAGCTATATTTATGCTTGGTTCTTATTTTAACAAACGCTAAGCATCACTGCCCACAAATAAATTTTCAGTATCACTTAGAAATGTTCTCTTTCATCATGAATGCACGATTTTTCTGTTTTAAGAAAGCAGATAAAATTTTTGAAAACACTGCAAAATAGGTTACAGCCTGCAGCCTTATTTAGAATTTGCTTCTTCAAATCTTTTTTATACTGATTAAAAATGTAAAATCTACTGTTAGCAAGGAGGATAATGAACAATCTCGGGCCAACTTTTGGGGAAACTAGAAGCTGGATGAGGAACAAAAATGTGCTTGGTTGTAAGTCCAGGGCTCTGGAGAGCATCATAAATATAAAATGTCTACCTGAAACATCATCAAACTAGCCAATGAGCAGTCAGTTCCCCATAGCCTGGTCTAGTGTAATTTCTCAGGTTAATCTTTTATTAGCCAGTTAAGTATTTTTAAAGATTTTTGTCTTGAACAATGGCAGAGGAGGGGGAGAAATGGGACTGATGTTTTCATAGTTGAGATAGAATTAATAAGACTTGGTGAATAATGGCTATAACAACATTGTTGTTGTTAATGCTCATGCAAAATTCAAATCTTGCGTGAAATTTGGGACATCCTATACAAGTACTTACCAAGACAGAGAAAGGACTGGAACCTAATTCCAAGGACAGAACCTAGATCAGCCGTGGGCAAATGAATAAAACTAAAAAAAGACCGTACCCTTTTATGTAATGATGTTTACTTTGAACTTATATTAGTTCACACACACACTCCATCCATGCTTTTGTTCTGGCCCTCCAGTCCAGTTTAAGAACCCACTGTGGCCCTCGAGTCAAAAAGTTTGCCCACCCCTGACCTAGATGGAAGCTTCACATGAAGATGGTTGAAATCTGAGGATAACGTCTGGCCATAAACTGATTTAGACAATTTCTTAGCCTTGGTCTGCCTCTTGGATATAACAAGAACCTTTGGGCCCCCAGCGAGACCCGTCACAGGTGTTTCTAGACACAGGAGGTTATCCGTATCCGGGCAAAAGGACTTCAATATTAAACATTAAACAGACCTCTCTGGGGAAAACAGAATGATTGAACACCCCAACGCTGTTGAGGCTAATTGCAACTCCTGCTAGAGCACAAGAAAGCTCTCCCTAAACTCATGTCCTCAGGCCTCACCTGTAATGGGAGAGACTCAGAGATGTTTACAGATGAATGCGGGGGATTTATCTTGCAGCCAAACAGTAAATGCCACAAGCAGCTGTGAAAGCTTTCTTTCTGGTCCAACAGCAAACAGCAGCTGAGCTGAGGCTCCCCATGCCCTCGGCCAGCAGGACTCCAGGCGGGCTGTGTTCACACTTCCTTCCCTCTCGGAAGGTGGGTCAGATGTGAAGAGATGTGGGTTGTGTAAAAAGAGCACGGGGCTGGACATCAGGGGACTTCAGTTCCCATTTTAATTCTGTCCCCATCCAGTCATTGTCTCAGCAAAGCAACTTCAGCAACTGAGTCTCACTTTCTTTCTTTGTAAAAAGAAAAATAATGGTGGGAAGGAAACAAACACGTTGCATGTCTACTGTGTATAAACACTGTGAAATCTATGCAAGCAGCCCTGCAACGAGGGTCACATGAACGTGACATTACAGATGAGGAAATGGAGGGGGCTGAGATAAGGTCACGTGACCAGTCACACATTCTGGAAGAGATAATAGAGGAGTTGGCTTCCCCATTCTACCATACCCCATTTGGAACTCCAAAATGTCCAGTAATACTACATTTGAAGCTAGCTTTCCAGGGCATTATTAAAGTATATTTTTCAAGATAAACAGAAAAAACAGATATGTAACAGTTTGTTATGCTGATGAATAATTTAAAAATATTTATACATAAGAATTTGGGGCCTAAACCCCTCAAATGTTAGAGACAATTCAGAATGTTAAAATGCATTTTTGCTGGAGAGAAATGATAATTATTAAATGTAGGTACAGGACAGCCACATATACCTGGCACTTTCCTAGGTTTTTAATGTCAACAAATTCTTCCTCATATGTGATTTCCTTTGATTCTCCTAACCACACTTTACCATATTTTGCAGATAAGGATACTGTCGTCAACGCCTGGGGGCCCATGTCAGCTCCCAGGTCCCCCCACTTCTGATTTCGGCGGCAGCTGTGGCACAGAGAGCTTCCTGTGAGCTCAGACTCTCCTCCTGGCATGGCCCGCATCCAACCTCAAGCACCTGCTGCGCTCCTATCACAGCTCCTTCCCTGCCAGGAGCCATCCTTGACCCACAGCCAGCAGGGCTTGGAAGGTGAGAACTATACCCCTCGGGAAACCCTGATCAGCAGAGGAGGAAGCAGGCGGAGAGTAGAGGCCCCTGTCGTTTTGATAGGGACATTTCGGAGGAAGAACACACACTTCAGAGGGATCTCAGCAGCATCAAGCTCCCATGGAAGGCGCTAGAGTCACACACGGTGATGTGTCCTCCTTCCTTCTCTCACTTTCCTCGTGTCTCAACCCTACTTCTAAACAAAATAAATGGCTTGCACCCAAGTCCCTGTCTCAGGCTTTGCTTTGGGGAGACCCCAAACTATGAGAGGCATGGAGGCCTCAGCAGGGGAAGTGACAGGCACAGAGCCACCTGCCCCAATTCTTATGAAAAAAATCCAATGAATTGTTCATCTCTCTCCTTTCAGTTGTACACAAAGGCTACAAGCTGTCATTTCTACCTTCCACCAAAATGCCAGTCTTAAAACAAGTTAAAAAAATGCATGCTTCAATGCAAAATGAGTACTAAATGATAACCATCATTTTTGCCAGGGGTTACACATATCATCTACCTTTAAAAAACTTTGATTTTTTCCCCAAATTTTGAAGTATTACATTTTGCTTTGCTGGTAAATTAGAAATGTTAAGTTTTTGTACATAAGAAAGCTGAAGTTTTAGGACTTTCCTATGTTATATGTTTAACTATTATTGAAACCAGAATTAGAATCTTTTCTACTCCCTTTGTCTACCAAATCTATTCAACAGCAGGACTGTAGATTTCCCTTAAGGAAGAGCATTGGCCTGGAGCTTTAATAAGAGGCAACTTTTGTTTGTTTAATGTTCTTCCCTTTTCCATTAGTTGCACCACAATTTCCACCATCTTGGGCTCTCAGTCATGTACTCTAGGTCTGAACAACCCTCCATTCCTCACTTCCAGAGCTCAGAATATGACATGTGCTGACCAATTAGTGTGGTCTCCTCCCTGGCTACATTGATTGGCTCATAGGACAGACAGGAAGCCAAACCTGGCCAATTAGAGTGAACATGGAGACTTTGATGGGTCCTTTTCCAGCAGGGAGCTACACAAGCCAACTGCACGTCTTCAGTGCCTGGTGGCCACCTTGCCACCTATAGGAAGAGCCTTCCTGAAAATGAGGCCAGCGAATGGGAAGAAAGGGAAGGCGTGGCACAGAAATGGATGGAGACAGACTGTCAAGGTCACATGATCTGGTCCTCCCTGAATTTAGACTTGCCACTGGACTTTACAGTCCCAGGAGCCCAGACATCACGGCCTCATCTTCCTTCAAGCTCCTGCCACTTGGAATTCCACAAACCAGCCAGAAACAAGTTCTGTATTCAAGCATTGAAGAGACGGCGCAGAACTTCTCTGGACAAACAAGTAAGTGTTTCCCACGACCAAGGAATAAGCTGGAAGTCAAGGACTGCGGCGGAGCTACTCACATCTTGGCAGAATCCTCTGTCCCTGCTTCAGAGAGCCCCGGGACCGAGTACTGAGCAAGTCCCTTCATGACCCTGCAGCAGCCAGCCCCAGACAAGCCCCTCGCCTCTCAGCGGAGTACACTGACTCCACACACCTCATTTCAATGGCTCGGTGCTTCAACTCACATCCCAGCTGCATCTGGGCTCCAGAGGATGGACCTTAGATGGAAATTCCTTCGGCTCATTTTGTTCTTTTGCTCAAAACTACATAGCAGCATTGAGAAGCCCTGTTTCACATTTTAAACTCTTAAAAAAGCTTCTAATCACCTTTGTACCCTCTGCAAAGCTGAATAAAAAGGGGCTGGAGAGGTGATGAGAGCCAAGAATGCTGAAACCACACCAAGAAACTTGCCCAAGGCAATACCGATACAATGAACTATAATTGTTTTTAAAGGTCTTATTCCTTCTCCCTCCAGAAAAGTCACCATCAAGTATTTACTTCAAAGACAATGTTTCAAAGGCAGGGAGGCAAGTTCCGAGCCTGAAATGCAGGCAGACTTGTCTCTAACTGTGGAAAGGAAATGGGGAAGACGTCAGGTGAGTGAGGACAGGTTTACCAGATGGCCCACCACTGAAGAGGAGGGGGGACAGGCGCTGGCTCAGGCCTCCACACCTCTGTCATCTGTTAAACACACATGCTGTGAGCCGATGCTCCCTCTAGGCTTCCAGCATGCTTAGAATACCTTTGGCTTCTGGGTGTGACGTACAAACTCACCTGATGAATTCCACGGAATAGTACTGAATAGGGGAGCTTCCTTCACTCTCTCCAGGTTTCCAAGATAGGGCCACCTCGGACTCGGAAACCACAGTGACATGAGGCTGCTGGGGTGCTGCCGGAGGCAGGCAGGAATCTAGGCAAGACAGCAGGCAACTAGTTGGTTTAGGATCTTTGCTGCAGGAGAGGTTTAATATGTAAAAAAAAAACACAAAAAAGCAGGTCTGCTTCTTACTGCCTAAACCTCTCTATTCAGAGCAGCAGGAAATCCACACCAAACAAACACAAACATAAACACAACTGGGTTCACCATGTAAGGCTGGAGTCAGTAAGAACTGGTCTCCCTGTCTTCCCCATGCCCCGCTGGCTGGAATCTAACTAAACTATTATCCAGACCATTGACTTTGGGATACACAATGGAGTGTATCCTTTGAAGCCTCAAATCATACTTCCACCTCCTAACAGCCTTTCATCTCTGTTTGCATGTTGGAATTGATATTTATCTACAAGGAAAAAAAAAAGCTTAGCCACTTTCTTTCTGTGTGTGTGTGTGTGTGTGTGTGTGTGTGTGTGTGTGTGTTCCCCCGATGATAATCAGAATACATACCAGTGGGAGGACATTTGGGAAATGCCCTCGTGTGTAAAGACATAGGCATCACCCATGATCCTCTTGCCTAAAGCTAACTGCTGCTACTGTTTTCATACCCAGACTTTCATATCGCTCAGCCTTCCTTTATACTCCTGCTTCTGCCAGAGACATTTTTCCTGCTTTCTCTTCCCAGTGAAATAGGCAGTTTTCAAAATTTGGGGCAAATACATGATTCGTCCTGAAACGCCCCCTGAGCCTGGAGGTGGAGGACGTGCTCTCTCCTGAGTGCTCCCAGTCCACTGCACAGACCTCGGATGCACTGGGGTTGCTCGCTTACTGTTTGCTTCTCCCTCAACAGAAGCTCCCTGTGAGCAATGCCATGTGATCAAAGCATCTTTGCCTCCAGTACCACCTCTACGAGCCTTCGTTGGGTCCCCTTTGTCTATAAATCCCTCTTCCCGTGTCTCTTCCTCACCTTCTTAATTCCCTCTCACTGTCAGATCTCCACTTAGAAGTCATCTCAGGGAATTCTAACCTCCCCACTCCATCAGGTCTCCCTTTGTACATTCTCACAGCACTGCAGGTAGCATTTATCACTACCTGTGACTACACATTAATTAAATGGAGTCTTGACCCACCCCTCTATGTTCCAAGAAGGCAGGAGCTGTTCTGTTCGCCACTGAATTCCCAGAGCCTAGTACAGTGATGGCAAACCTTTTGAGCTCGGCGTGTCAGCATTTTGAAAAACCCTAACTTAACTGGTGCCGTGTCACATAGAGAAGTTTTTTGATATTTGCAACCATAGTAAAACAAAGACTTATATTTTTGATATTTATTTTATATATTTAAATGCCATTTAACAAAGAAAAATCAACCAAAAAAATGAGTTCGCGTGTCACCTCTGACACGCGTGTCATAGGTTCGCCATCACTGGTATAGTACAATGCCTGGTACACAGTAGGTCTTTGTTGATATATATACTGAATGAAGGAATGAATGAAGAGCACCCGTCAGTTTCCTATTATTAAGGAACTGAACCCATTTTACCTTGGGGCAAGGTGGTAACATGCTGAGGAGAGCTAAGCCACCCTTTGCCTGTCACGCTGGAAGCTGCTACGCTCACTTGATATTCAGTGCCTGGTTTCAAATCTCCGATCACTTCCTCCTGTCAATGACCAAACAGGAGAGGTGTCAATGGGGCAAACCAGACAATTCCCATGAAGGCTGCCTTTTGAGACCCCTGTGAAATTTTGCTTGGGACAGAGGTTGTTTTACTTTCTTTGAGACTGGCCAAGTTTTCAAATTTGTAAAGAGGAAAACACCATGATGTATTTCCCGAGACTAGAGCATCACCCTTTATTAAATCTATACAGTAAGTGACTAAGGGTGGGGAGCATGTATAGTGTGGAGACTCTGGACAAAGGGATAATTCATGGCCTGGGCTAAATGGAGCTGGATGGCGAGAGATTTCATCACGCTACTCCGAACGCATGCAACTTAAAACAGGTATTGTTTATTTCTGGAGTTTTCCGTTTAATATTTTCAGACCTCAACTGACCATAGGTAATGAAACTGCAGAAAGCAAAACCTGGGATAAGGGAGGACTGCCGTCTTCTTGCTTGGGTAAGTTCATCTCCTGCTCCCTTAGCTTCCAGCACTGCCTTCGCCAATCTGCACCTCCAGCCCAGACCTGCCTCTAGAGTCCAGCGCGGGCCTGTGACTGCCTCCTGAACATCTCCACCCCACAACTACGAAGCAACTCAAATTCAACATAACCAAAGTTCAACTAATCCTTTCTCCTCCTCCCACCCAAAAGAAAACAAAAAACAATAACCTTATTTTACATTCTGTGCTCCCTCTCATTGTCCAAACCAGAAATTCTTGACCAGTACTCTTTCAGATCACTTGATTCTGGTAATGTCATTTTGTCACAGGCGTTTCAGTCCAAGTCCTCGCAATTTTGACAATTACGAGGCCACCAATACTGCCTGCACCTCCAATGCAGACTCCACACTGTTAGAGTTATCCTCCTGAACCCCTAATCTAATACCATGTCACTTCCCACTTTAAAGCCCCTTAGGAGAGCGTATTTGTGTCCCCTGTTCATCCCTCCAGCATTGTCTCATGCCACCTCCCTTCCCTGCATTCCGCATTCCCATCAGACTTAAGGACATGGCAGGGCTCGGATTTATGCCAGTCAACCGCTTGCCTCTGGGCCTTTGAACCTGCTGCTCCCTCTCCATGAAACGTCCTTCTCCCCAGTCCTGCCCGGCTCAGCCCCGCTCATCCCTCATGACTCAGTTCAGCCGAGACATTACCTCATTTCTTTGAGCCCCAGCCTCCGGTCTGGTTGGGCAACCCTTCCTCTATGCCTCTATGCTCCCTGGCGTCCTTGGTGCACCTCAGTCTTAACACCACTCCCCTTACATTGTGACTGTCTGTTGATTTGTCACCTTCTCTGCACCCACCTGAGGGCAGGGAGCAAGTTCTTATTCCTCTGGCATCCCAGAGCTTAGCATAGTGTTATTGGACATGTACCAAGTGCCCACGAAATGCTTTTTGATGAACAAATGCATTAACTAGCGAATGAGAAAAACAAATGAAACCCAGATGTCCAAGGTAATCCGATGAGCTCAAAGAGAGACTGCCCCCTCCACCTGGATTCCCAGCACCAATGCCTGTGCTCCAGGCCCTGGAGCTAGTGAGGAACTACAGACACAGGGCTGACTCCCTCTGACCCACTCCCTCCAGCCACCTGCACATACCTCTCAGATGCTCCCTTCTTCCACTTCCTCTGAATCCTGACCTGGACCATTTAACAGCCACCTGGAGAGTGTCTACCTCCACTCCTTCTCCCCCACCCCTCCTCACACCCCGGACCCACTCTATTCTACATGCAGCTGCACAAGGGATCTTTGCTGAACATACGGACCTACTTCCAGAGCCCCTCCTGCTCTAGTTCCCTGCATCTGGGCACCTAATTCCACCATCTGCCCCCTGGTTTCATGTCAAGTTGGGTTCAGAGACTGGACGGTGGACAGCAGACACAGTTCTCACTCTCTCCCAAGTGCCGCACCCAGGCCTTTCCCATGGAGGCAGAGAGGCATTTCCAAGCCCACTTGATGCCCTCACAGGCTTTTGCTGCAGGATCCCTTTCCCTGTGAACTGATTGTGTTGTATGAAGTGTAGGGGTGTAATGCGGTTTCACAGGTCACTAGACATTAGCTATGAGCCAACATAAATCCAGCTCCCATGGAGTGTTGTTTCTCTGCCCCAGGAACAGGGGCAGCCTGGCTTGATCCTTCTCCCGGCCTGTGAGGTAGGTACCACTCTGATTTTCATTTGTGGACGATAAAAGGGAACCCCTGAAAAGCTAGCGATTGGCTCAAGGACATGAATGGTGAGGCGGGCATTTGAAGCGGGCTTTGTTTGACTCCTCGGCCCATGCTCTAATTCTATAATATGTGGATGAAAAATATTAGATAATATTTAAATCTACAAACCATACTTAGCATAAACACTGACAACCAGATGGTTATTTGATCTATACATGTAGAAGTTTCTGTACTAGAAATTTCAAAGTTATCACTGAAAATCAGAACTCAAAGATTGGACCCTGATTTCAGACCTCACTTTTCCCCCTCACCCTTTCTCCTACTGCTGGAAACTCAGGCCATTTGTTTCCAGAAATGATGCTAGATGTTGTTTTGTTCACTCGCCCGGACATGGAGTTACTGTACTAGGAGGGCAGCCAGTTCACATGGCTGAGAGGAGGCATGACGTGAGAGCCCAGACAAGAAGCCAGGAGACCCAGGTTCTGAGCCAGGCAGCTGTGCCACTTAACTTCTCTGGGCCAAAGTTCCAACACCGAAACTCTAGAATTCTCCTTAAATAACCTTCATTGGTAGCTCTGAAGTCGGGGCTGGGTCTCAGTTGCCCTGGTGCAAGTTGGGAACATCTAGCATCATTAGGTGGAAGGCACTAGAAAAACAGAAAAATACTCTCTTCCTGACCTCCTTCTTCCAATGGTCCAGACCAAGGCTGTGCAGGCCAGGGTGGAGGGAGGGGCAGAGAGGGTGGGGTGCCCATTCCCGGTGGTCACAGAGAGTTAGAGAGTGTCATCCAGGGTCTGAAAGGAAGGGCAGTACTGGCTTTGGGTCAGGACCAATCTTTCTCATACGGGTCTGTCCTATGTGTTACAAAAAAGCCAGCATCCCTGAAGCTGGTCCACTAAAATGCTCACACAGATCTCCAAATGCTCTACAGGGGACAAAGGAACCCTGAGTTGGGGACCATTACCCATCAATCCCTTCATTTTATAGTCAAAGGACATTCAGAGGGACCCAATGACCTTGCCCAAAGTCACCCTTGCTGTGGTGACAGAGCTGGGACTACATGCAAGTCTCCTGGTTAAGTTTTCTCTCTCTAACCTTGGGTAACACCCAAATAGAATTACTGTCCTCCTTTAAAATTCTGTGGGATTTTACAATGCGCATAATATATAAGCAGAGTAGCACATGTATAATTAATAAGTACATAAATATACATATATTGGTACATGTTCAAATATGTGTTTACTGATGGCATGCATGATAAAAGGTGTGCAGACTGCCGGTTTCAACCTCCTTTTCTATTTCTACCTCTAAGAAATGGCCCGATTGCCCTGATTTGCCCTAGTCGTTATTTTTGCTGGATGAAACTGTAGGTTGCTCTCCTACAAGAAAGGTACGCATCTAGTGCTAACCAAATCAGAAGTCTCCACATCGGCAGATCATCAAAGAAGGCATGGGAATTCCACATCATCTATCAGCCAGGTAATCTTGGTCATTTCACCACTTGCCAACCCAGTCTTTTGTTTGTCATTCAACCCAAAGAAAATCAACCACCCAGTTTTAGGTGACCGGTCCTGTCTCATTGAGGTCTCAGATGGTTAGAGGAAGTAAGAAAGGGAGAAGGGAAAGGGGTGGGGGGAAACCGCCCCCACAAAGGCTCTCTCACTCGTTTAAACATTTCCTTTCCTTTTTAATCTTCTTCGCCTAGTTTTGGAACGGAGCTTAAATGACTTCAACCTTTAACGATGCTCCCCTCAACCCTCCTGTGCAGGTGAGAGGAAGCAGCACGTGGAGGATGGAATTCGTCGGGGATGCTGGGTGGTCCTGCTCCTGTAGGAACTAAGCATCTTCTCTGGGCCTCGGTCAGTGAGAGGCAGATGCGGGAAAAGCAACATTCTGATCAAAAGGGCCCCCTGGATCCCCGGGGGGTGGGAGGGGCAGGGTTTAGCTTTTCTCAAGCACACTTACAAAAATCACCGGAGGCTCAGGCTGCCCCTGCGAAGGAGAGAAAACAGAAGCACATGAGAAGGAAACAAGGCGGGGTGAAGTGAACCCTCAGAGCCGCGGCCCCCCCACGCCCAGCCCCGGGCAGCTGCCCACACCCTCACAGCACCGATTCTGCAGACCCTCACTCAGTGCCTCCTCGGGCAGGTATGCCGCTGAGGGCTCTCTGATCAGGGCCTTGTCCAATGCTCACGGCATCCCTATGATAGGTACAGGGCAGAGGTTCCCAAACTCCCTCTGTTCACGTCACCTTGAGCATCTCAGAAATACTTGGACAGCACCTCTACCCCAAAGCAGTGCCGAGCGGTTCCATTTCTTCAGGAGGTCAGTCATGTTATGCCCAAACCACTTGGCAGTACTAGCTCACACCGATGGAGGTGCTTCCATTGAAAAGTTCAGATAAGCCGCAGCCCCCTGGGGGTTGGCTGCAGAGCCCCCGCAGCACCCTGGCACGCAGCCTGCCGTCAGAGACACACTACCTATGGATGGATGCTATGGGAAACCCTGTGTGTCGGTGAGGGAACGGAGACGGGTCAGGGGACCCACTGGCTGGGTGTAATACAAGATCTGAACGTGAGTCCTCTGGATCCAGAGCCCACTCGACCCTCCTCCATCAGGTCTGCCCTCACAGCTAGTCCATATTTCCACGCGTGCGCAATTCCCTGGCTCAAGCCATCCTGAATGCCCCTCCCTCCTGCCTTTCCAGAAACTGGCGGGCAGGCCTCAAGTCTCAGCCCCCCAATTTGACCTCTTGTTCCTACAGGGGTCCCTCCCTCTTCAGAACCGCAGTCAGTCACTAAGTGGCATGTTAATGGCATCTGGCTGCCTGCTGCTCTCTATTGTGTAGTCAGCTGACCGGGGTTTCCCCAATAAGACTGAGAGCTGCCCAAGAACAGGGCTCTGTTATCTCCGCTGGGCGTCCAGCAGCGACTCTGAAAGTTACTGAAATCCGCAAGGTCGTCAAATGCTATAACCTGATAACACACTCTAACCAAGAGGATGTATTTACTATACAGGCAATGGCCACCAGACATGATACTGACATGGCTGCTTTTACATGTGACCAAAGACTTAGAGACACAATCGTACTTGGCACTCACAACAGTGCAATTATTATGCCCTTTTTACGGGAGAAAGGAGAGGTTCAGACAGGATAAGTGACTTTGGCCAAAGTTTCCCAACTGTAAGGATAGGGAGGAGGCCTGTACCCCGGGGTGCTGTCCTTCCTGGCCTCTGTTCTATGTGTGCACCGCGGTGGCTGTCCCAGACACGCCGTGCAATGTGAAGTGCACAGTCAAGGGGTTCGAGGGTCCAGCCCAGGTTCACAGATGGGGCAGGATCTTGCTTTCAGAGGCGCTATCCAGACTCTGAAACACCTGTCACCCTCCCTGCCCAGAGAGTGCTAGCCCCACCCACTGCAGGCCAGGATGCGGGGCTGAGACACTGCCCAGCACACCGCCCAGCACACCGCCGCCCTCGATGGGCCACAGGCTTGTTGGAAGTTCCAGCGCTACTGCCAAGGGGAGACTGAACCTCAGGTAATGGTTTCCTAGGCGAGGCCAACCCCTCCTCCCCTGTTAGGGTGGAGGGAACCACAGAGCCTGGGGCTGAGGGCTGCTGAGGCGAATGAGGAACAGTGAGCAAAAGTCTGAGATTAAAAGCACGTCGTGCAAAGGGCATGCGAGCTGAAACTGCGCAGGACTTCCTTCGGAGCCACGAGGGCTTTGGTGACAGTAGCCAGAGCAGGGCCCTGAAGTGCGGGGTCTACCGTCCGCTGTGTTGCTTGGCAGGTCTGACTTGGCGAAAGTCATTCCTCTCCGAGTCACGGCATCCAGCAGTAAAATGAGGTCATAGGACAGTGGCGAAGATGAAATGGAAGCGCAAATGGAGAGCAGGAGGGATGGGGCCTGGCGGATAACAGATGCGCAGCAAGGAGAGCTACTGATCACCCAGGACAAGTAGGTTTCCGTGCGCGCCCGCGGGCAGGGGTCCCGTGGGGTGATCGACAGGGCCACAGTATTGTGGTCTATCCAACAAACTCCTTGCAGGGACGGGGAAGGCTCTAGCCTGCAGGACAATTGCAGATGGGGAAGGAGGACCATGTAGGAGAAGCAAACAGAACAGGCCTAAGGCAGAAACATGCCCCCAGACAGACCGTGACAAGAAACAGAAAAGAAATAGATGGAGAGCCACACTAGCTAGTGGAAGGACAGGCTGGAGAAGAAAAACAGACAGAATGGACCCGCTGAGTGTACACTGCAAATGACATCATTTTCTTCTGCACTGTGTCGCCAGGCAGCGGGGAAGACACAGCTGTGTTATATTTACTGATAAAGCTTTATTGAGATTTCACAAAAATCAGAGTTGAACTTTTTGAAGAAAAGAAGGAAAAACAGCTGTAAGGCAGATGTCTTTTCGTGTGATAAACAGGGTGGATTGAGTCCAGGATGCGAGTGCTGACATCCAAACTCTCTCTTCGTGTGGCTGCCTTTGGGGGTGCAGACAGGTGTACACGAAAGGCACCCACACATTCGCGAGGACCACATGACATTGTTACTATCACTACACATACAGCACCCCCCTTCCCCAATCAGAAACCCTCCTGGGTATCTCGGAAATGCCAACCCCGGTGTGGCAGGAGTGCCGCCGGGATGGAGTACTCACGGTGGCGGAGTCCTGGCCCAGCTGCACGCTGCGGTTCCGCTCCCGCAGGGGTTCATCAGTGCCAACCGCAGAGTAAGAGACCTGGAAAGGTGCAGACCGCGGGTGAGGGCAGCGCAGGCCTTCCCCACCGGATCTGGGCCCGGGTTCTGGGGGCGCTCACATTGCAGTGGGCCCTCGGGTGTCCTGCCTCACCTCACACACACTACAGGACAACTGACATCACACACGGGGCCAGGGTCACCTCGGAAGCCTGCAGAGGCCAGAGGCAGGCTCTCGTCCGTGAGGTGGGGTGGACTGGCTGGACCCAGCTCCTGTTCCTCACAACCACGCTCTCAGGTAACCTTGCATTTTCCTACCCTGGATGCCACCCGAGTCAGGAAACACGTTTCTCTACTCTAAGAAGACAATAGGACAGGGGCATTGATGAATGGCTACCCTCTCTTGTTGAAATGGGAATGTGGGCCCAGTGCAGCCAGCTCTCCGATTGCCCCAGAGAGCTGAGAACTGCAGATATTTCTCTGATATCTTTTGACTTCTAAAAGGTGACTCATTTTAATAAACACTGTTCAAAGAAAACGTCTTGGGGACTCCAGCCAGTTCGATTTGCAGCCTGTGGAAGGCAGGACGCATTCTCTCTTGCTTCCTCCACTTGGCCGGCCCACCCCTTCCCCTTGGTTCAGATGTTACGTTACTTTGTACTTACGGACAACATGCCCCAGTGAATCCCTAGCATTCCCCATGTTCCTGCTACTTGACTGCAGACAACTGGGTACAGGAACCATGTCTTTTACTTAGTTTAAATTTTCCAATCCCTGAGCAGAGGAAGAACAGGCTAGATCCTAATGACCTTCAGGGCACCGACAAATGGCCTTGAACAGGAAACAGTTCCTCTGGCTTCAGGAGGGAGCAGGGGGCAGTGATCGATACGCGGGGCTGATGGGAGGTCATACCATGGAGGAGCAAAGATGAGAAGGAGCACCCGGTCATCCCAACGCACCCACTGCAGAAGCCCGAGCCCAGGTACTCACGGTGTACCCCACGACGGGGTGCCTGGGATGCCTTGGCATCTTCCACTGGATGCTGAAAGCCGTACAGTTCAATGCGTCCAGCACGATGCGCAGAGGAGGACCCACCTTGCCTGTTTTTGCCAAAACAAAAGAGACTGCATTAGAGGTCCATGCACCTGGGGTACCTGCACAGGATGGAAGAGAGGGCACCTATGGGTGGACAGCAGGCAATGCAGCCGTGTCTCTGGTCTGACTTCACTGCTGTCCCCTCCCAACCTGGCACTGAAAGGGAAATCAGCCCGGCTCTTGCCCTCAGTCCCTGCTGTAACTGCTAATACCCTAGGGACCAGCAGAGCGGGACATTCAAATGCTCTCACTTGACTCCCTAGGTCAGTGGTTCTCAACCTTCCT